AATAGTGAAATTTGTAAAGTTCTAAATTTAGTGAGTGTAACAGTAGAATTTCAGAAGGAGATAGACTAAAAAGCACTGAAGAAGTTAAGATCTTTATAGACATGAGAAAAATGAGGCTTTTAAAAGTGGTACATGTTGGATTTGTGAGCTGATAAAGAGAACATTCTAGCTGAGAAGACAGTGAAAAGTTACTGTGTTGATCATGTTCATCAGCTTCAGGGATATTGTGTTATATGTGTGTTGCATTTCTGTAAGCATAAAGATATACTAATTTACATTTGGAGTTTTGAATGATGCAATACATTTTCTCTGGTAGAGACAGGGAGTGAGTGAATGGGCTGATTGGAGGTGTGGATCAGTGGATGAGAGTAAAGAGATATGGACAACTCTGATATTTGACTTCAAGGTCAAGGTAGTTGGATATAGGCAACAAGGAGGAAAAGATGATTGAGTTTGTGATGCTGGTGGTGAATAGACAAGGAACAAAGATGGAGAGTTCTATTTTGGACGTTTTTCTTATACTGTGGACATTTGTGGGTGTTGAGTGACATTTGGTCATGAAGACTTAGGATTTGAAAGAGACTCAGAGGTTATTTGGTAGAAGGTATAAAATTACAAGATAAAAGGGGCCTCCCTGGTGGCCTAGGGGTTAAGTCTCAGTGCCATTACCATTGTGGCCTGAATTTGATCCCTAGCCAGGTAGCTGTCCCACATCTGGTGCAGCAGACTTCTCCTGTCTCTCCTGAACCATCTTGAAAAATGGAGCATTGCATTTCAGTAGATCCTCCCCTCAGCATTGTATTTCAGTAGATTTGCCTGTTCTGCTCCCCACTCTGTCTCTGGTGAATCATCTCACCCCTGCAACCCCCCAGCACCACTCTCGTTCTTCTACACATAAATGATTATTTCTTAAAAAAAAAAAAAAGGTTTAAAAAGAACCCTGGTGAGTAGTAATAACTGAGGAGCAGAAAATGCTCAAGAAGCCAATGCAGAGATTGAAACAGGTTGGTGAATGAAGCAGAGAACGAATTTGCCATTTTACTGGTGAAATTTACCCGTGCCTACTGTGTTGTTCCATGCTGTTGTCCATTAAGACTTTAATAAAACTTCTCAAAATTTATATCTTTTTCCATTTTTACTTTTTTTTTTTTTTGGTCTATTATAGTTGGAAAGCCTGGAGTTGGTGAACATAATTCCCCCAATCCCACCTATAAGTCCTAGATTTGGAAAAATCCAAAATATTTCTTTAATGGTCACTCCGGACATTGCAAATGGAGAAATTGGCTTTCTTAGCAATCTTCCGATCATTTTGCATGAACCAGAAGATTCTGACATTGATATGGTAAGTGGGCTTTTTATAATGGGCCTGATAAGTATACTATTGTTTTTTGGTAGGATTAGTATATTGAGTGAAAAGATATTGAAAAGCTTTACCATTTACATTTTCAATTTGTAGTTGATGCAAGAAACTGGTAAGTGGTGTGATTTTTCTGTAACTTTTGCCATATTTGATAGAATAATTTTTTACATATTTCTGTGCATTTTTCATGTTTCCTTCGATAGCACTGGGTATCTGTCTGCCTTGGTCTCTGTGCTTGGTGATGGAGGGACAGTGGTAAAGTTAAGGAATATTATGTCTTAATAATTATGTTATGCATATATTATTTATGTGCATATATATGTAAGGTTGTGCATAAACACACACATGAAAGCGTACTCAAAATTACAACATGTCCCCTTCCACTCTGATTCTCACCTTCAGACTTGCCATTCCCTGAGCCTGTATTGCTGCTGTCCCCAAGTTTCTCTCACTTCTGTTTGATTTAAATTGAGTTGGGACTCAGATCAGGAATGAGGAGACTGGCTTGCCTTTGTTATCAAATCCTCTTGTCAAAATATGGTGATGATAACTTTCTTTGTTTGTATATTTGATTCTATAAATTGGCAGAGAAGCTCCATTTTTCAAGATGGGTTTAAAATTTTTATTTCTTAAATATGCTTTACGCTCCACCCACCCAAGTTAAAAAACTCAAAATACATTTAGTTTGTCTTAAAGAGTGGATTACTTTTATTCTTTTATCTTAGAGGCTGTGAGTTTACCCATTTGATAGTCTTTCCCTTGAGGGAAATGAGATTTTAAGGAGAGAAACAGCAGAAATAATGGAAGTTTCTCTTTGTTCTCTTTGCCCTAGCCTCAGCCTGGCCAATCCCAGGGTGATCTGAGGACTACCCTTCTGTTATTTGTTTATTTGTTTGTTAGATTATTTATTTATTTGTCTGCCTAAAGAATATTACTTTGCTCATTGGTTTCTGTCCCTAACCACTACTACCTACTTTAGCAGAAAGGTTAGTGAATAAATATATTCCTTTATTTTTTTTAGGAACTTAAAAAGGATAGCATGTCTACCATTTATTCATTTATATTTTTTGTTTGAGGTAGCTTGATTATGATCCTTTTATGATCTAAATTTAAAGTATATAATACTTGAACAAACTACCAAATAGTTTATTTCAGAATTATTATAATAGCATCAATTTATTTTCTCTACACTATGGAGAAGCACTTTAATCCCTGCCACATACAATATAGGGATCCACTGGCTTCATTTCACATGTGGGAAGAGAGGTCAGAGAAGTCAATTAACTTCCCTAAGGTAGCCCAGAGCCACAATTTTGTATCATTTCATTTTTACTGCATTGGTTGTATTGACCAGATGCATTTTTTCTTACATTTGTATTTTGACCCCTGTCACATTAGGATGCATTTTCCATATAATTTTCTTGTTTTAATTGCAAAAATTTATTTTTCATTTTAATTATGATATGAAATTAATTCTTTTCAGGGAATCAGATGGAAATTTATTATTAGCAAAATTGTGTTGTTCTTGATTCTTTGGCCCTTAAACTTAAGTTTTTTCTTAAAACAAAATTCAAGTTAGCATATTTTTGGCTGGGAACAAATTTGATGATTGGTTAGCAAAAACTAATAAAAATATATCTAAAATTTCTTTCATACATAAAGAAAAGGATTATTCAGTCATGTTTTTTAAATGTCATTTGATTGTTCACTTCCTGTTATTAAACATGTTTCATATAATAGCATGTACTCATACTAACTATAAGATTATATAATTTGTGAGATTATTATGGAGGAAATTGTTTTTTTTTTTATGAGGTATACATTCCATTGCATCGGGATGGAACTGATGGTCAGGCTACTGTCTATTGGAGTTTGAAGGCCTCTGGCTTTAATTCAAAAGCGGTGACCCTTGATGATATAGGCCCCTTTAATGGTTCTGTTGTGTTCTTATCTGGACAAAGTGACACAACCATCAACATTACTGTCAAAGCTGATGATATACCGGAAATGAATGAGACAGTAACACTTTCGCTGGACAGGTAATAAACCTTTTAGGAATCTTTTAGTGAAATTTATATATTCATGTTTCTTAATTAATTCAGTTTTAAAAATTCTTTTCTTTATATGTAAAGTAAAATTAAAAAAAGAAGAGGAACATTCTGCTAGCCTTCTGACTTTTCTGTTATTTATTGGTGGTTCTTGGTTAGACTATTTACATAGTGAACTTTTACCCTGCTGTTCATTATAAAGAAACATTACATTGAGAATTTATGGAAGGTATTAGATAAGTCTTAAGCATTGAAAATATTGAAAAAAATAGGCAGCAGCAAATGTAAAATGCTAGGGTAAGCAAATAGCTCTACTGGCTTCATTTTCAATAGAGGAGAGGATTAGTGCTTTTTTGACAGAGTGAAAAGAAGGTCTAATCTTCATATAATGAAATTCCTTTTTTTACATGGAACTAGACATTAAATAATACTTATTTTCCAGGGATTCAAAAATAATACAAATTTAAGGGTTCCCCCCCAGTAATAATAAAGATCAACTTAGCAATTCTCAGTGGGTAAAGTATACTAAGAAAATGTCACAATCTCTAAAAGAGAGTTATTTTCAGTAATTCAGAAAACACTTTCTAAAAGATCATACATTTAATTAATTTGAAAGAATTTAGAAATTAAAATCAACTTTATTTGCTTCAGGTCTCTTCATATTAAACTTGATACATATTAGAAACTAGTGCTACTTTATGACTTAGCAAAATTCATATTTTAGAAAAAAATAAAATTTACAATTAAGTTCATTTGTTATTTGTACTATGTTAATCAGGATGGAAGTAGTAACAATTATTTTATATAGCCTCTGTTCTCTGTATTTTGTTGTCAGTCTGTTCTAAGTTTTTCTTTTTAGATGTTTTATCTAAACATATTTCTTACACTTGATGAGTAGTAGTTTTTGCGTTTTCAAATGATAGAAAAATATAAAATATAGGGACAAATTTATTGAAAATTTACTGTCTCTTTTGTTTGCTTTAGAACCATATTAGGCTTACTTTCCTTTTTTACATAAAAAGTAAAAACCAAACAATAACAAAATAAGCAAACCAAGAAAAAAATCCAAATCCAAAACCAACACAACACATACAATCTAAATGACTAATGATTTTAATATATACTTTACATTAAATCATAAGGAAAGCTATTATGATGTAAAACAGTGAAATGTAATAGAATTTAAAGTTAATAGTATTTTTCACTATTTGCTTTTTTTTTAGTTAGGTTTGAGGGCTTATTAAATCAATGGAAGTCTTAAAAAATAAAGGAAAAAAATGAATGGCAATTATAAACCAAATATAAGATAGCCCACAGAAACATTTTTTAGGTTAACTGCAAATTTTTGCTTAGAAATGAATATTTATAGATTATTTAAATTATACCTTGGCAAGTTCATAATGACTATTGTTTACGTTCTTTCAAAATAGTTATTTTTTAACTTTTATCATGTAATATTTTGAAATTAATTAAATAAAATTTTTATTTTTTTTTTCCTCTTATGGACAAAACAGTATATAAGGAAGTATGACTTATGGGATGGAGTACTTTAGAGCTTATTATTGAATCTTCTGTTTTCAAGTAAAGGAAATTAATTCAAATTTTTTAGAATGTTTCAGTCTGTTTAGGAAATAGTGCATGCTTGTATTGTCTCAATTGTGCATAAACAAAAATGAGGACGTTATACTTGAATTTTCTAAGATGTATTAAGTTAAAAGTGAGAAAGAATCTACAATTTGAAATAATTTTTCAAAATCTTCATCTCAGTCTTGCAAATTTTTAAGAAAACTAAACTAACATGAATGACTAATACTATTAAGTATGATTATTGTAAGTTACAAGTAAAATTGCAAGAAGAAATAATTAATACTTCACTGTGGTAGTTCATAATTTTCTTTTAATGTCAATTTTAAATTCAAATTCTCTATATTTCAAAAAATAAGACAGAAGTTGTCCTGTACTAAAAAAAAAAATGTTTCACAGCCATGCCACTAAAAATTATATTTCAGGTCAGCTTTTCATCAAATCAAAAATACTCTCATTAAGCTTGTCTATTTCAGAAAAATTTCACAACATGGCTATATAGGTAGTTATTTGACTTTAAAAACAAATCATTGGCTGTACTCATTGTGGATTTGGGGAAAATATGTGTATTTTCTGGTATGAAGATATTTAGGTATTATTTATAATAATTAAAAGATATAATGATAGCTGTGGCTTCTGCAGTACGCAAATAATGAAAGGTATATTGCTCTTTCTGTTACCGAATTTTTAGTTTTTCAAAGAACCACTGGCGTTAGTCGTTCTTACTGAGGCTAGAGCTTTTAATTTATTTTTTTTAACCTAATTAAACCTGCTAATTAATTGTAAGTCAAGCTGAATGAAATTTGCTCAGCTGCAGTGGCCTGTCAGAGTGCACAGCTCCTGGGAGGCTCCCGTGCCTTGGAGCAGACCTGGAGCAGAATGTCCTCAATGGGACTGGACATGCTGGCTGCTCATGGGGTCATCTCCTTCAGTGGGAACTGCAGAATCCTTGCTAATATTTGTCAGTAGCAATGAACCTGTGTGCAGAGTTCTCATAAAGTGAACATTACTAGCTCTTGGGGGAAATAAAAGAAAGACTTTCTTAGGCTTTATTTTTATCCTGTCATTCTGAGTTTTAATGGTATTAGTGAGATTTTGGCAAATGGTGTCTGTCTCCTTTTTCCCCTCCCATGCCTCTTTCTGTGTTGGCAGGGTAGAAACTGAAAGGTTTGTCGTGTATTTTGGGTAAGTGTACAAAATATTGTCTTGTTTTTGGTGATTTCATCATTTTGCTCTGCAAACCATTGTTCTGGAACAGCATGCTGTTCTGCATGACCACAAACCTCAAGAAATTTTGCTTGTCAGTTTGCCTGAGCATGCTTGCTGCATTTTCTAATGACCATGGGAGCTTTTATGAATTTTTTTTGTTCTAAGTTATCAATTCAATTAAGATTATCTGGTAAACATGTATGAGTACCAATGTAATTATATATTTTGAAGAATAAGGTAAAATTTTAACTTTCCTTATAGGTTGTGTATAACCCAGGGAATAGTTATTATGCTTTGCTTATAAAATTCTTACCTAATGTATTTTATGAATCTTGTAATAGAGATTAGCAATCAATAGCTCTGTCTCGTCCATTGACTTTCTGAGGTCATCTAAGTGATTTCTCTCCTATATTTTCTCAGTTTTATAAAGAACTTTTCAAATTTGTCTTTTGGGAGGAGGTAGCACATATAAAGATAGCTTTAAAATAAGTTCAATGCCTGAAATGGACTTTTTAAAAGTGTTTTACATACTGATCCAGTTTTCTTGTCTTTTAACTTATGGCAGCATAGGAAGTTTTAATTACTGAAAATATTGGGGTAAATAAAATATGGGCAAATTTGCTATGAAAATCTTATGTCACTGCATTTAACAACATAACAAATAACAAAGTAACAAACAAAACTGTTATTTGGACAGTGTTTTCTGTCTGTATGCTAGGTCTTGATTGTCAGATTTCCAAAAACTAGGCAAGGATGTTAATTCAGAATCTCTATTTTATAGGGAATGAGCTATGCTTGCGACATTATAGTTGTGGCTTCTTTTTGGTTTTAAGGTCTGATCAAGAGTACTTTTGGTTCAATAGAAAGTGATATTTGGAAAAATGTAGAGCAGCTTGCAGAATTGAGAATTCTCAGAAAGCATGCTGGCTTTTAAGCCCTCAGAGCTTTACAGTCCAGGTCTCTTTGTTGCTTTATTTACACATTAAGCATAAAGACAAGAAAAAGATCTCGTTTTAATATGCTCTCTAGAGGTAACTTATGTATCTCAGCTCCATCTATACTATTTTGTTTTTTTGGATATATGTCCTACATTTTTTTCCTTTTAATAAACCAAAAAAAAAAAATGACAAGAGGTTAAAATTGAGATGAATGGAATCATATGCAAGGTCACAGACTATTTTTTAAAAGGTTTAATTTTCATCAGTGTGGCTTGCCTTACTTAGTCCATGCAGTTATCCAACTTTTATTCAATTAATATAATGTTATATAGTGATTTAAAAATAAAAAAAAGAAATTTAAGTGTATGTAAAGTTAAAATGATTTCAGCTAGATGTAATGACATGTTATAAATTAAATTTTTCTAAAACTGGGGACAAATTGATAAGTTTGATACTTTGTCAAAAGAAAATATTTTTACAACATTTATTTACCCATAGTTTTGGTGTACTTGTGCAGTGTTTAGTTTCAGTCACATGTGAAAGATAATGAATTCAGAAATAAAAGTTTTTCTCTAAATGCTGAGTAGAAGTGTTTTGATCTTAATTGATTTACTACATAAATTAAATTTAAGGTTTAACTCCTTCTAAGCTTCAGATTTACTATGTGAAAGTGTAAATGTAGACTAGCCTACAAAAGTTCAGATCCCTTATTTCTACTCTGACTTACGCAGGGTCAGTGTGGAAAATCAAGTACTAAAATCTGGATATACTAGTCGTGACCTAATTATCGTGGAAAATGATGATCCTGGGGGAATTTTTGAATTTTCTCCTGCTTCCAAAGGACCATATGTTATAAAAGTAAGCATGAAGAAACTAAAGCCTATTCTGTCCTGACACTCAGAAAAATAATTTCAAGTATTGAACTTTTGTGGGTTTTTCTTTTTTAAGGAAGGAGATTCCGTAGAACTCCACATCATCCGATCCAGGGGAGCCCTGGTTAAGCAGTTTCTACATTACCGGGTAGAACCAAGAGATAGCAATGAATTCTATGGAAACACCGGGGTTCTAGAATTTAAACCTGGGGAAAGGGAAATCGTGATAACCTTGTTGTCAAGATTGGATGGGGTACCAGAGGTAAACAATTTCATTTTTAACTTGTCTTTTTTTTCTTTTTTTAAATTGGTAGTACCTAGTAAGTTGTGAATGTCAGTATTTTGAACATTGGCAAGATGATGCAGGAGAGGAAGTGGGCAATATAGAATTGAGAAGTTCTTATGTTTGAAAAAAGACAAACTAAAAATATACAAAGTAAGACTCATTCAAATTTGAATGGTATATGTTGCTCTGTGTAAAGAAACACTAAACAAATCGAAATGTTGATTGTCTGATCAGTTTTTTTGCCTGAGCTTTTAATGGCACAGTTTTGAACTGAATGTGTTTTTTCTGTATAATTAGTTTTGAAAGAAAATTCAGTTGAGTTTTGTCTTAATGGAACTCGATATAGTTGCATTATGTTTATTCACCGATGCATATGTATTTCTTAAATGAATCTTATGTTTCCTTACTAGTTTAAATGGCTAAATCATCAATGTTAATTAAGTTCAGTCTTCTTACTATTTTAGTATATAGTATCATGATTTGGCTTTTTCCTTTTTGGATAATGTATTTTTGTATCTGGAATCTGTTGATTGTTGGGAGAAAGCTGTTTTTTTTTTTTTTTTTAAAGGAATAATATTAGCTTGTTTGTCCTTAAGGTGAGGTCTATGTCTGAAAAATTATTGTATCAGTATTTCCCTTTGAAAATTTTAGCTTTAAATATTTTCTAATTTGGCATGTTTATTTTAGTTGGATGAACACTATTGTGTGGTCCTTAGCAGCCATGGTGAACGAGAAAGCAAGTTGGGAACTGCTACAGTTGTAAACATAACAATTCTGAAAAATGATGATCCTCATGGAATTATAGAATTTGTTTCTGATGATATTATTATTATGATAAATGAAAGTAAAGGAGATGACACCTATAGTGGTAATTTATTCTTTTATATTCTATTACTGTTTACTGAAGAGCAAAGTAATAATTTTTTAGTTTATTCTTTAGTAACTAGTTATTTTTAGTTCATTCTGCCTTTGGCATTCTGTGGAGTGCAGAAATTATATTTAAAAAATTACTTGTTATTAGTAACAATTAGTTGTTATATTTATATAGCATTGTGGTGATACCAATGATTTAATTTCATTTTCATTTTAACAATATATGATAGAAATCAAATCCTCCAAACTGAATCTTAAATAGGAAAAGCTCTAGATCTAAGAACTACTGCTAGAGAACTATTGCAGTGGTATGTAATGTGTTTTAGAGCCAAGTTTGGGCAAGAAATTCAGTTTTAACTGTGCAGCTTATACCAGCTGCTTTTAGCAAATATCCTTACAGGATTTTGTGATAGGTCTACCTACATATTCACCATTTAGTTTCTTTTAAAATTATTTTTATTATATATTTTTACATCATTCTTCATTTTGTGCATTTTTTCATCTCAGTTGTAATCCCCATGGGCTTCCCACCACTGGTTCACCTGTGTGCCATCACCACAGTCCAGTGCATTCTTCCAACCCCAGTTCTGATCCCACATCCCCTTCCACCGACATAAAAGGTCTCCGGTTTATAGTTGTTTATTGTTTTCATTTTACTCTATTAAATTTTTCTCTCTCTCTTTCCTTCCTCCCCCATCCCTTACACTCCTGGTATGAGTGAAACCACCCAGTATTTTTCTTTTTCTTTCTGGCTTATTTCACTAAGCATGATCCCTTCCAGCTCCATCCATGTTGCTGCAAAAGGCATGCGTTTATCTTTTTTGATTGCTGAGTAATATTTCATTGTGTATATGTACCACATTTTTTAATCCAGTCATGTACTTTTGGGCATTTGGGTTGTTTCCATGTATTTCCTATTGTAAATAGAGCACCAATAAATGTGGGAGTGCAGGTGTTCTTTTGAATCGGTGTTTTTGTGTCTTTTGGGTATACACCTAGGAGTGGGATTGCTGGGTCATATGGAAACTCTGTTTTTAACTTTTTGAGAAACTTCCAAACAGCTTTCCATAGTAGTGGTACTAGCTTGCATTTTTGCCTGTAGGACAGGAGAGTTCCTTTTTCTCCACATCCTTGCCAACATTTGTTGCGTTGCTTATGCCAAATGACTTAGAATCCCAAACTTAACAGAAATGAT